GTTCGAACACATTGAGACTGAAAAAGAAAAGATGAAGAAAAGAACTTCGAATAAAATTTGCATTAATGTCATAGAAGGGATCCGAGAATTAGAAAAAAACGTAAAGAATCTTCTCACCTTCAGCTGATCAGTGACGTGCCAAATTCTCACTGAACAATCGGCTGAACCGCTTGCAAGCACGTTGTCGTTGAAACCATTCCACTTAATGTCCGTGACAGCGTTCTAAAAATGGGAGAATGGATGATGGCAACACTCTAAAATGTTTTCGTCTTTTAAAAGAAAAAGCGTTTCAATGCTAAATTTTCCTCACCGTATGATCCTGCAACCATGCCAGCCCAACACGACCATGCTTGCCAAAGTCTTCAAGCGTGCCTACCTGCAATCTAGCATTCTACGCAAGATTAATCAGCTTTGTAAGTTCCGCAAGATATATTTTGAATAACTTAAAACTTGTAACTCATAAATTTTTATATTTCTAAATTCTTCCAAAGCTGGTGAACAAGATGGAGAATAATACGGGAAAAATGTAACTGAAATCAACACTACCCGCTATTTTTACTGCAAATCAGAAAATGAGCATTTTTTGAATAATTTTGTGAAGTAGCATAAAATAAATAAATTTTTCGTAGAGTTTATATAGCTCAAGAAATTCCAATATCCATTTTGAAACTAGCAAACGAAATTAGCAAAGAGTTTGTGGAACTGATGGACTAGAAGGGAAGTTCCCCTGTAGCTATTTGTATGATACAGTGAGATGAGTTCTACTACGAATTTCATTCATTTGGAAATTAGTGCATTGCAGCAAGTTCTACTCGATGTTCATTGTCCCAAATATCTTTTTTTGTGGTCTGCTTCTTGAAACATCGATGTATAAAACTATTCCAGTCCTCTTCTTCAATAATCAAAAATATGTTTCAAAATGTGTGCTATGAGTTTGCAAGACTGAATCAGTGAAACAATGTCTACATAACTTGCGGTTGTTGAATCTGATTGGTGCCTTTCACTTCTTACCAATTTTACTCTTCTTTACTTTTGATTTCAAAGAATCAGAAGTACAAATGTGCTTGTTGTTTGAGCTAGTAGGAGTCCTAAACTGCACCTTTCACTGCACACACAGCAACTCACCAAAATTTGCCCTCCAGCGCCTCCTTCGAGCGCAACCGCAATGAATTTCGGATTAGCGACCAAACATGAGCCATGGCCTGCACCCCAATCAAACCATTCGCCGCGGGCTGTGCTTTGTCCGAATATGTGCCGAAATGTGGCTGCGCGACTTCCTGATGGACAGTCTTCTTCTAAAAGATTCAGCATTTCATTAGTTTACTGTTCGATCATCTCGCACTGACTAGGACAGGTGACTACGCCCAGTTCTCTTTTCTCTGGAGAAAATTCAAATATTAAAATGAAGAACTTCAAAAAAGCATTTCTGACAACATATACTGCATTAAGTTCATTACTTTGTTCGGTAAAAAAATATTCATCCAAAATTAAAGTCGAAAAATCTATATACAGCCTTCATCCTTTAGCGTATCCTTTGAAAAGAAGTGAAAATAGTTTTGAGAAGAGATTATGAGTCATGACCTATGAATCAGTAGATAA